GGATATTGCTCCGGGCTTGTGTATTATCGACTTTGGAGGGTCTGTGGTCAGTTTTTTGCCTTTAGCAGAGTTCGCCTACAAACAACAGCTACCAGTCCAAGCATCAGATGGTCCATAATGAGGCGTTGTATGGTAGGGCATGTCGGTCTCCATGGGATGGTTCGAGCCGGGGAGAGGCTCGGTATTGGGGTACAGATTATTCAGGAGGGCTTAGATAAGGTCAAGATCATTCCAGGACAGGCTTCGTTCGCTCAGTCGCGGGAAAAAGATTAATCAGAATCGTAAGGTTCGGGATGTAGCTTTCATGGTTGCGTGAGCGGGTCTTGCTCCGATGTGTCCGCCTATGAAGGGCGTGATGAGATTTGGGAAGAAGGGCAAGCTTAGCCTAGGTACATTAGCCCGTTTGAGATTCTTGATCGAGTGGAAGGTGGCTTATAGACTTGCGTTGCCGCCCAGCTTATCAGCCGTGCATCCAGTTTTCCATGTATCCATGCTTCGGAGGTATCACGGCGATCCTACCACGTGTTAGATTTTCAGTACTGTCCAGTTGGACAAGGACTTATCCTATGAGGAGGACCGGTAGCTATTCTGGACCGGCAGGTTCGTCAGTTGAGATCCAAGAGTTTTCCTTCTGGTCCGTGTTCAGTGGAGAGGTCAGCCTCCTTAGGCATCGACCTGGGAGTCCGAGTCTGATATGCGGAGCCGTTATCCCCATCTTTCCCCCGACTCAGGTACTTCTTCTTTCTTCCGTTCGAGGACGAACAGTTGCTTTAGAGGTGGAGAATGTGACGACCCAAAGGGTCATCACCTGTTTTCTTATTCATTCCGTGCTTCTGAGGCCTCGAAAACCTCATTTAGGGTTGCCTCGAATTGCTGCGCAGTCCGGGCACGTAGCCGAAAAGCTTAAATATGAATTCTGTGTGAAAATGCTAAATTTTGATATTGATATGGTTAAGTTGACTTTGGTCAACATTTTGGGTAGACGGACCCGAACCCGTGATTTGACGGTCCCGGAGGGTCCGTAGAAAAATATGGGACTTGGGCGTATGCCCGGAATCGAATTCCGAGATCCCAAGGCCGAGAAATAAATTTTTGTGTGAAATTATTTTCTGAAATTAATTAGGAAAATGGAAAGGAAATTTGATCAGAAGATTATTGGTACCGGCTTGTATTTTGGTTCCGACGCCCGGTACAAGTCTTATATGTGATGTAAGCGCTTTCTGTAAAATTTGGTTGAAAACGGACGTCGTTTGATGTGTTTCGGACTCAAAATGAAAATTTGATGCTTTATGAACATTTCAAAGAAAAAAACATGAGTTTTGAGGCTTGATTCGATGTATATGATGTTATTTTGGCGATTTGATCGCACGGATAAGTCCGTAGGATGTTTTTGAGGTTGTGTGCATAATTGGTTTGGAGCCTCGAGGCTCGGGTGAGTTTTGGATAGGCATCGGATTGCATTTTCTCACTTTGAAAAAAATCTAGTATCAGTTATCTGCAATTTTTGCATTTGCGAAGCCAGAAGTTCGCAAATGCGAATGCCCAGCTATCGCAAATGCGAAGGCGGTTTGCAAATGCGAAGCCAGCCCAGGCAGGCCAAGGTCCACAAATGCGAAGCCAGGCATCGCAAATGCGATGGACACTAGTTCGCAAATGCGAGACCCAATTCGCAAATGCGAAGGGTCTCTTGGGCAGCTTGAGTTCGCAAATGCGAAAAATAATGTCGCAATTCCCAAGCCTGCTGGGTTCGCAATTGAGAACCCATGTTCGCATTTCCCACATCTGAGGCCTGCATTTTTTCATACTTAGACGAATTTTTAACCCCTTTTCTTCATTCTTTCAAAACACAAACTCCATAGGCGATTTTCCAAGAAATCTATCTTCTCACAAATCATTTGTAAGTCAACTTTTACTTTTAAATTCTTCAATCTTTAACATCATTAAACCTGTTTTCATCTTAAAATCAAGGATTTCCATGGGTGAAAATGGGGATTTTGGGTAGAACATAGGTTTTCTTAAAATTGGGGATTTGGACCTCAATTTGAGGTCCGATTTTAAAACTAATCATAGATATGAACTCTTGGGGGAATGGGTAACTGGGTTTTGGTTCGAACCTCGGGTTTTGACCACGTGGGCCCCGGACGTTTTGGGAATTTTTGAGTAAAACTTTGGGAAATTCATTTTCATGCATTCAAATTTGATTCGATTAGCATTTGCTGATACATTCAAGTAATTTGTGACTAGATTCGAGCGGTTTGGTGTGAATTCGAGGGTAAATCTATACTAGAGGCTTGAGTTGAGTTTGGAGCATTTGAGGTAAGTGTTTGGTCTAACTTTGCTTGAGGGAATAGGAGTAGAGTCTTATTTGTTAAATTGCTATTTGTCGAGTACGGTGTATAGGCATTGGTGACGAGTATCTATACACTGGTGTCGAGCATGACCGTGAGTCCTAATTTGCTAAATTATCGAATTTGTAATTGTTATTCGTGAGGAATTGGTTGGAAATCTTTAACACTGAGCCAGTAATTGTTGAGACTAAGTGTGGATGTAATTGTGTTGAATAGAGATTGAATGAGTTTGGTTATAGCTGGATCTCCCTTGCCGGGATAGTTTATTATATTACATTGCTCCCTTGCCGGGATAGTTATTATAACATCTTTCTCCCTTGTCGGGATTATGTGTGTATTGTGTAGAAATAAATGGGATCGTGTGCCACGCCGACCACGAGTTATTATGAAATGGGATCGTGTGGCACGCCGACCACGAGTTATTATGAAATGGGATCGTTGTGGCACGCCGACACGAGTTATTATGTAATGGGAACGTGTGGCACGCCGACCACATGACAATATTGTAATGGGAGCGTATGGTACGCCTACCACGTGATGTAAGGAAATGGGATCGTATTGCACGCCTGCAATGAGAGGAAATTGAAATAAGTGAAAGTGGTTTGTTTTCCTCTATTCTGTGTTAGAAGAAATCAGATGTAGTTTCTTTTGTTATTCCTGATATTCTGTTTTATCTGCTTCCCCATAAGCATGTTCCCCCCTCCCAGCTGTAATTGCCTACTTTTCGCTATTATTTTGTTGTACTTGTATAGATATATCTGCACAGGTTTATCTGGTAGTCTGGTCTAGCCTCGTCACTACTTCGCCGGGGTTAGGCTAGGCACTTACCAGCACATGGGGTCGGTTGTGCTGATGCTACCACTCTGTGCATCTTTGTGCACAGATCACAATACCAGAACAGCAACTTTTGGACAGCAGTAGGAGCATTTTGGGAGCCGACATCAGTCCAGAGATCCCGAGGTAGCCTTGTTGACGTTCGCATGGCCCGGAGTCTCTTCTATCCTTATTGCGTTTGTTGACCTTGTACCGGAACAAACAGTATTGTATTTTATTCAGACTCTGTTTTTAGTATTCTATAGACGTTCGTGAGTTAGTGACTCCAGTCTTGGGTAGAGGTTGTAATTGAATTTCCGCACTTGTTTTCAGTTCATTTACATTTAAAACTTCTGCCTTTATATTAAATGTCTCATTGCCTTAGTATTGTCGATGTTGCCAAAAAGGTTAATAATTAATTGGCTTGCCTAGCTCCTAATAGTAGGCGTCATCACGACTCCCGACGGTGGGAAATCCGGGTCGTGACACTAATACACACACACACACACACACACACACACACACATATATATATATATATATATATATACACACACATATATATATATATAAGATGTATATATAGTATAGCATAATATATGTACTAAGTGTATAGTATATAAGCTATATTCGATATAACATTAGATATATTAAGATGTCTATATAGTATATCGAATATAGCTTATATATATAAGCTATATTATATCAAATATAATAATATATTAAGATGTGTGTGTGGGTGTGTCCATATATGTGTGTATA